CCCCCCCACAACAACCGCCGCCTCCTGCCCCTCCCCCCCGGGGGGGGGTCCTGTCAGTGCGGGTGTCCACGTCACGTCAGCCCCCGGCCCTACCCCTGAGCCGGGCTGGGACCGTATGAGGGGCGGGGGAGCCCCCGGGAAGCGGCAGTAGGAGCCCCCGAGCCGGCGCTGCTCCCCCGCCCCGCCGGGCCTGAAGGCAGAGACAAAGGGCAAAAAACAAGTGCGGCGGAGCCGAGCCGGGCCGGGCGCGCAGCGAGAAGTCCCCGCGCTGCGCCCTGCCCCCGGCGGCTGGCATCCCGGAGCGCCGGGCCCGCCGGCTGCGCCTCGCGCTCCCCCCTGCAGCGGCCCGTCTCCTTGCACACACACACGCACACAGACACACACACACACACGCACTGCCATGCGTGCACAGCGCCGAGGCTGCTGCTGCTGCTGACGCGGAGATCCCGGAGGTTCCTGCGCGCTGCCGCTGGCAGGTCACACGCGCCGCGTCCTCCTTCCCCTGCTCTCGCGCTGGGTTTTCCCGGCCGCTCCCAGCCGCTCTCAGTCCCCTCCTCCTCGCCCCGCGGGGGGCCACACCGACCCCAGCCCCCTCCCCCGCCGGCCAAAAAAAACACACGAATCAAAAGCAGCAGCTCACCCCACGCGGCGCCAACTCCTTTCCCAGCTTTAACTTTTCATCTCCGGGCGACGGCGCCGAAAGCAAAACCCCTCCACTCTTGGAAGTGGGCGTGAGAGGAAATACGAGGAGGAGGCGCCTAATGCTCTCCGCGGCTGCTCCCCTTTTTTGGCCCTTGCCTCCTGCTCCTGCTGCTGGGGTTTTGCTGCTTCTCGGCTGTGCCGCGGTGATTGGTTTCCAACATCAGCTGTTTCGCTCTGTTTTGCGTGCGGGTCATCGTGAATGGGGAAGCGGGTGGCGAGGGATCCCTGCTTCCTCTTCTCGCACACGCCTTTGCCTCGGCTTTGTTTTGTTTTGTTAAGAAGCAAGGCACGTCGTTTTTTACTGCTACGTAGAGTCCCCTCCCAGCTGGATCTTTGTAGCTTGGGTTACCCTTCAGGCGGCATCTGAATGCGCACACGTGTGCCTTTGTGCCTTTGCTGTTTTGGGGGTAGCTCTGCTGGGCTAAGGACACTGGCAGCATCGTCCCCAGGCTCCTGGCAGGCCCAGGGTGAACTTTTAGTATCGGGGCTACATCCACCAAAGATAATGATAAGAATAAATCAGATAACGGAGAAACAAATTACCACTTTCAGGCCCCCTTTCTGTCCGGGCCCTGGGCAGCTGCCTGGTTTGCCCATGCCTGTGTCCAGGTCTGGACCTAAGTAGACAAGGTTCTTTGGGGAGACCCAGGTGCAGGGGGGCTGGGCCCAGTGATCTGTAAGGTCCCTTCCAGCCCCTAACACCTATGAAACTATGTGATCTCTTTTATTAGACCAAGGAAGCAGTTGGAAAAGCTGTTCTTTGCAAGCTTTCAGGTAGATGCAATCTCTTCTATTAGACCAACTAAATAGTTGGGAAAATTGCTCTTTGCAAGCTTTCGGGTACAAATGCCCTTCTTCAGGTCCCCTCCCTCTGCCTGAAAAAGGGTGCTTGTGCCCAATAGCTTGCAAAGAAGAAATTTTCCAACTATTTAGTTGGTCAAACAAAAGATATCACATTTACCCAAAGAACCTTGTCTTTACAGAACAAACCCACTTGAATGATCTCTAATGACAGCTTGCATGACTTCAGTGTTTCCTTGGGCAGGGTGTGAATAAAGGGGGAGCTCAGGGCGGCTGAGCCCCCTCATAAGAGATTTAAGCCCCCCCATAAGAGCTCCCTATAAGATTTGAAAATCATAACATGGGGGGGGTCTCTAATCAGATTGCTCCTTCACTTAGGTGGAATGTTAATCAATGAACCCGTTTAATTTTTAATTTTTTTTGCAGACCCCTGAACAAAAGTCAAAGTCTAATTCGAACCCTGCCCTTGGGCTCCAATCTGTGTGTACCCCTTGCACATCTTTAAAAGGCAGATGTGCTACTGAACAATAACAAAAATAACTTTAAAAAAATGTTCCCTCTTAGCCCTGACTATATATGGCACACTCGCTTAACCAAATCTCAATTTCAGAAGCACATATGATATCACAAAGTTCTGCGTGTTTACAAGATTATGATTTTGGTTCTTCTATCTACGGACAACAGGATTTTTTCCAATTGGTGCCAGCTGGAATGAGTGGAGCTTAACAATGCACTTGCCTGTGGTGAATAAAAACCTGTTCTGGTGACTGCAGGGCCTAAGTCATCGCTATTTTGAAGAACTTCCGCTTTCGTAAAAGCAAAACTTTATTGAATACCTTTATAATAAATTTCAAGTATGAACTAATACAGTGATATATATTCCTGAGTCTGCAGACAGCTCTAGTGTCTCTGTCCTGCTCCTAGCTTATATAAACGACAGAGTAAAGCACAAGGCTGTTTCATTACTGCTACTCCAAGCCTCACATTGCTAAGGCACATTGATGAGCATGTGTCACAGTCACGCCTTAGCTTCACATTATTGGTGAAGCTATCTGTATGACATGCAGCCAAAGCAACAGAACTTGTCACAAGTAAAGGAGGGAAAAAAAATACCCAACTTCTTATAATCTAGCTCCATTTTCTGCCTGGAGGTCAGGGTGGGATTAGGAATTTTATCATATACCTATATTAAAAGACTAATTACAAGTGGGAAACAGTGTCCTGGTGCAACACACTGATGAGACTCAAATACATTTCTCATCAGATAGAAGCAAAGTGAGATTTTTTTGCAGGGATTTGCCTCTAGACCTTGCTGGTAAGATCCCTTCTCATCTTTCATATCCATTCTTAGCTAGACTTAGTTCTTTGCAACAGGGGCAGCCAACCTGTGGTACGCACGCCACAAATGGAATGAGTAGCCTCTGTGCCACACATGTCAGATCAGCAAGGTTACAGCCAGCACAGCAGCAGATAGGGCAGGGAGCAAAGAGGAGAGCAGCAGATTGGGCAGGGAGAACTGGACAGAAAGTGGAAAGCAGCCTAGCTGATCAAGTAGGGGAAAGGGGATCAGTATGGCACTCATGGAGGGTGTAGGGCTAATTCATGGCACACTTGCCAAAACGGTTGACCCCCACAGCTCTAGAATACAGGGGGTTAGTGTGGCACAGCTGACAGAACTGGAAGGACTGGATGTCAGATTTATTCTTCAGTCTGTTATTGACTACCTGTGTGGTCTTGGCCAAGGCGCTACCTCTCTTTCTGTCTCAGTTGCTACCAGTAAAATCAAACCAATATATACAATCACCTGGTAAGGCATTTTGAGATGCAAGGAACAGTGCTCTCTATGGTTATTATTAGCAGGTGTCTAAGTATTCTCCCAACCCTGAGAAGGAAAGATATTAAAAAAAAAAGAAGCAGTGACATTTAAATTTTTTATGAATTGAAATGTACACTGCAGTCTCTTTCATCACAAAATTAAGATATTTTTAAAACTACATCTAATATTAATCCCATCTAAGAGAATCTCCTTTCAAATGAACCTATGTGTGAGTGGTGAACAGACTTTTAAAGCACAAATCTCTTGAATGTTTGCAGTACTTTCCAAAGGGACTCCAGTTTCAGAATGATCTACAAACACACACTAAATTTATGCTTTAAAATAGATATTTTTGCATAGCAGCGCACATTTAAAGCTGTTCTTCCTTCTGCCAAACAGATATATAAAATAGAAGTAGGAAAAGTCAGGACGCAGGAGGGGGTCTTTAAATCATTCAGTATTTACCACACTGTAGTAAAACTCACTGTACGGGATTTGACTTTACCACAGCTCTTAGATACCAAGACCATAAAGCTTTGTGGTAAATGTGGGCACTGTGGTTAATCTGGGCAGCAAATACGGATTTCTTTTTATATTGCCCACCGCACCATGACCTGCAGCTGAGAAAAGCTTAGACTGATTATTAGAGCTGGTTGAAAGTTTTGAGGGAAATTCTGAAGTTCTGAAAAAATAATAATTTCAGAACCAGGGTACAAAGTCCTAAATGTCCTGCAGGAAAGAAATACTGTAAATATTTTGTACTGATATAATGAAAACATTTTCAACAAAATTATGGCGGGGAGCCCAGGATCTGAGGCTCCTGGCTCAGCTGTACCTCCCAAGTTTCCAGATTCTTACTCTGCATCAGAGACCCTGGAAGCCTGGAGATCCCACAGTTGACAAGGAGCTTGGAAGCCCTGAAGCCACCGCAGGGCTGGTAGGCTGGCTTCATAACAGGAAGCAAAGGGCTGGGTGGGGCAGAGGGGTGGGGGGGTAGGGCTTTACAATCCTTGCCCTGGGGTAGCCTCCCAGGTGACTGATGTGCAGCTGCAGATCCTGGAAAACCCAGGTCTCAACTTGGAGGCAGCCTGTCTGGCCAACTGCCAAAGTTCAGGGAAACAAGCTGGCAAGAAACCAGGTAGGTTTCTGATAAAAACCTGCCTGTCTTCCATAGGAAATTGGCGGGTTCCAAGGAAATGTTTTCAGTCCAATGAAGTGGCATTTTCTGACGGTAAAAAACTTTCCACTGAAAAAAGTTCTGACCAGTTCTGTTCAGTATTTCTCCCAAAGAACTCCGTCACTCAGAGATCCACTGACGGCCATTCCTGCTACAAAATGGGGTCATTGGAAGAATGGTATCTGGACGGACTGGGAAGAGAGTATGGTGTAATTTACTGATATTTTGTTATACCCTAACTCAGGAAATGAATAACTGGACCTTTCCTCAGACAGACATTCATTTAGCCCTTGGAATACAGAAGTCTACCTGACTAAATGTTTATACCATATTCACGACCATATTCTACATTACAGCCAGGGCTAGGTATAGGCCTAGAACATCTGAAGTACAGAGGAAGCACTAGCATCTTAAAGCTGATCATGTATTTCCCAGAAGTCTGTGTTGAACCTCCTGAAGTAATTCCTAAGGGGCACACTTCAAAATTCCCTTTCCACTTTCCTCCA